AATAATATGATCATCTAAAGAAATTTATAACCTTTTTATAAATGTACTTTAGTAAGTTATATCTTAAATCTATTTTTCTCTATAGTTATTTTAATCAAGCGAAATAAATACAACGCGTGTATTTTAGATACGGCCCGGCGGACGGTGTGATACGCGACTTATAAATAAACACCGAAGTAATTGTCCGACAAAAATTTATATGCTACCAAAATTTTTCTTTTTTTAAACACTACATTTTCACATGATAAAAAAAAATAGGATTTTTTAGTTGTATAGTCCTTTAAACAATCAGTTTTTCAAACAATTACGACACTATAAATAATTTTAAATGTTAGGAATAAAATAAATTTAAAAAACGGTTTTATTTTTGTAATACAATAAAACTTAAATACTAAAAACATTAATTTTGATAGTTTAAAAGAGAAATATCTTGATACAATTGTATTGTTAGTTATCAATATAGAAAAATTTGTTTCAGCGTTTGATATCTATTAAATATATACATAAATTGAATAGTTTCACACAAAAATTTGTGTTATTATAAAGTTACAAATAAACAATTTTTTTTTTTAATCTAGAATTTATACAATCTATACTACAAAAAAAGTACAATAAGCATAATGTATGTTTAATTAAGTGCAATAGCTTGAATGTCTTGAGAGAAGAAACCGTCCAGTGAAGGTACTTCGACTTGAATTTACAATTATTTAGGTGTATTCATATTATGTTTACTTTATGAGGTCACGGGGCCATTGTCGTTTAAGTCTCCTGGYGGGATTTCCTGGGATGGAGATGGATAATAACTTTTTTATATGGGGATTAGGGTGATTTTGAAGGCGATTCCTAAATTTTGAGTAGTATAGCTTGGCTGTATCAGTGACTTTCGGAATGTGAAGATCTGTATGAAGTGTGTGGTTTGAAATATAAGGAGGAGGGACATTGGTTATGAGTCGGAGGATTTTTGATTGAAACACTTGTATTTTTTTTGTATTTGATATTTTTGCCGTGCCCCAGAGCTGTATGCCATATAGCCAGATAGGCTTAAGAAGAAGATTATATATATSAATTTTTGTTTTRAGGGATAATTTTGAGAATTTACCGAGAATAGGTCTGAGAGAGTAGAGTCGTTGATTTAATTTTAATTTTGTTGTGTGTATGTGTTTAGCCCATGTTAGACGTTTGTCRAAGGTTAGACCTAGATATTTGGCTGTGTCGGAGTTTGGTATTGGTTTGCCGTTTATATGTACCGGAGGAGGTTGTCTGTGGCTAAGAGCAAAGGTGGTGTGTACAGATTTGTTTTCATTAATTTTGACGCGCCAGAGGGAGTACCAGTGTGATAGATCATTTAGGTGTCTTTGGAGARTAGTTGAAACCATGTCAGAATCGGTGTGGGTGGCATATATTGMTTTGTCGTCGGCATATTCAGCTATTTGTGTATTCGGATTAGTGGGTTGGTCTGCAGAGTATAAATTAAAAAGAGTTGGAGATACAACAGCGCCTTGAGCCCCTTGAGGAACACCAGCTTTTATTGGGGATATACTGGAGTATTCGGTTCCTGACCTGACAAAGAAGTAACGKTCGTTGAGGTATGATTTWAAAAAAAGGTAGTATGATGGGGGTAGGAACGATTTTAGTTTATAAAGAAGAGGGGGATGCCAGACCTTGTCGAAGGCCTGTGCAACATCAAGAAATACTGCAGAAGTGTACAGTTTCTTTTCCAGAGAATAGGCAATAGTATCGGCTAGTCGGTGCATTTGATGGATGGTTGAATGGTGTTCTCTAAATCCAAATTGCGTGTCAGGAATTAGTTTCTTTTCTTTGATGATTGGGTAGATTCTGTTTAGTATGAGTTTTTCTAAAAGTTTTGCAAAGAAAGGTAACAAACTAATTGGCCTATATGAGGAGRGGTTATCTATTGGTTTATTTGGTTTAGGGAAGAGAATAATTGTGGCAAGTTTCCATTGAATCGGGAAATATGACAGTCGGAGTATTGCGTTAAAAATATKAGTRATGTGTACTATAGCTTTGTTTGGAAGTCTGCGGGCTATTTCGGCTGTTATCAAATCATGACCAGGTGATTTACCTAGTGGAAATTTTTGTATGAATAATTTTATCCCATTTGGAGTGAATGGTTTGGGTGGAAGTGTCATTGGGAGTGGGCTATCTAGAAAATTGCGTACTTTGTTTTCTATGGAAGGAATGGTGGAATCGTTTGGGTTAAAGACTTGGGAGAGGTGATGTCTGTGTACTTCTGCTTTCTCTTTATCGTTTATAGCGAGACTGCCGTCTATTTTTTTGATTGGAAATGACATTGTTTTGATTTTTAAGATTTTTCTAGTGGTTTTCCACAGAGAGCCATCTTTTTCGGTTAAGAGGCTAGTTTGTTTGGCGAAGTCTTYTGAACGTTGTTTCGCCATTTGTCGTTTGAGTAATGTGCATAGGTGATTATAATTAGTTTTATCGGTGGGATATTTTGTTYTCTGCCAGATTGCTCTGGCACGACGTTTTTGGACAATAAGAGATCTTAAATAGGTAGGCAAAGAGGGATTACTTTGATTGTAATTATCAATTATTTTTGGTTTACAAGAGGACCATGCTGCATTTTGTATTGTTGATGTTAGATATTGTACTGATTCCTCAAGTTGATTTGGAGATTTTAAACTAACGTTCAGGTTAATGTCGTTTGYGAGTATCGATTGGAATTTTTCCCAGTTAATTATTCCATTGATTAATGATGGATTCATTAATCTTTTTTGAGGAGAGGTGTCAAGAGTGAGAAGTACTGGCKAGTGGTCTGAGTGAGGATTCGTTAGATTATCTATGATGGTGAAATAAACAAATAAAATTTATTTCATGAAAATTCAGTTACTGGATGGATGAACACTATTATAACATATTGTACTAATTTTTTTCTAATTGGCTATACTACCTTTATTATTCAATTAACAAAATATATAATATAATATAATTTAAGCCTATAAAGAATTTTATAATATTTTAAAAACACCTTAATTGCACTACCAAARWTGATTATTTTTTTTAAAAATTAAAATAAATTATAATGAATACCTTTCTAATAAATATGGCTAATTATTGTAGTTTTGTTTGGCATATTCAAATTTGCATACACAATTTATTTCTTGTAGCTTAGTAAGTTTTAATACATTCGCATTCGCTAATATTAAAGCTGCACTTCAATCAAAAAATCATAATTTATAATACCTACTATAATAATATATTATAATACAATAGTAACCATTAATACGATTTTAAAAGCCAAATTGCTTATAAAATGAATCTAAATCTTAATATAAAGTTTAAAATAATTTAGTAAGATCATTAATCAATGAATTAAAATTAAATTGAAATAACAAATAAATTATAATTTATAATGATTAAAGCCTAACTTCGCCGATTTAAAACTAATTAAACAGGGTTTAATTTTATATTCGAAAAATCACTATTGAGTATTGATATTAAACTGATATTTTTAATATTTTTATTTTTAATTTAATCGCTGGTTAACGATGCGGGAATTGGGATTTGTGGTAATTTTTATAGGTTGGCAAGAGCCTTTTTTTTTGTTCTTATCAGTTGTTATCAAAATCGGGAAAACCATAGAATATTCTATGGGAAAACTGCGGAAAGTGGTACCCAAGGTGGATATATATATATATATTGATGGTACCCGTCCCTTATCAATAATAATTGATAAATGGTTAATAATGATAATTTTATATATTTTTTGTTTAAATGGGTATAAATCACGGAATAAGATGGTCTTAGAACTAAGTCCGTGGTATCAAAAAATAATCATTTTTCATTAATCTTCATAATCAATTAATTTATATTATAATTTATAATTTATATTCAAATTTTTATAATTTGTTTTTTTTTTGACCGCGCGATTACTGAAATTTTCAATTRAAATTTTGCCATTATCGAGAGATCACTCGATCAAAATAATCGAGATGTTATGAACGAAAAATCTAGTAATAACTATAATAGTGATGGACATTGTCGAATTAGTTATCATGTCAATCGCTAGACACCAAAATTTTTAATAATCCTATTCTATTGGTAAGAAATACAGATTATTTTTTACTATAGTAAACTGTTAGTTTTAACTTATTATGACTACTGAATAATATAAAATATTTGATGCAATTTAAATTTAATTATAGCTTATACATTTCGCAGGTCACCACCAAAAATATCATTCAATTATAATATAATCGATTTTATTTCAATAATCGAAGTAGGTATCTCATTTATGCCCATCACTGCTCAGTAGTTCACATTTTACTCAGTCAGTTTATAAATTAGAGTGAATACTGAATAGACTTATTTTAAAACTTAATGGTCAGAATATAATTTGTGTTTTGTTGGAAGTATGTTTATGATAATTCATTTTTTAAGTGAGTTTTGCGTGTATAATAAATTGTAAGATAAAAATGCTTATAACTCACTTAAAAACTGAATTATCATAAAAATACTTCAAACAAAATATAGATAATGTTCTTACCATCTAGTTTCTTAATAGGTTTATTCTCTAATTTTTAAGCTAACGGATTAGATTAAAATGTGAACTGCTGATCGTAAATTTTCTATTTTACGCTTTTGTAAGACTACAAATGCAAGTGAGGCATTCAATTAGGAGGATTATATTGGTCTGTGGCCCTGTGGGTGAAATATAGATTAGATAAAATATTATTTTACAACACAAATTTACTGATATATCACCCATTCTCACTATATAACATCAATATCATGGTTTTACTGAACTACTGTTTATCAATATTAAATACATAATAGTAGCCTCTAGCCCAGTGTTTCTTAACCTTTTTGATATCACGGAACACCAGGCAATAATTTTTTTTTCATGCGGAACCCCTCTGAAAATATCTTTAAAAAAGAAGGATACACAAAACACGGTGATTAGCGGCAACATTAGAAATGCACTAAACTTTAGTGATTTAAATACTAAATACACTGTATAAAAATACAATTAAATTATTTATTTAGAATTTAGATTATATTGAGAAGTAACATTATACATATTATAATATATTTAGATTAGATTAAATTTATATTAGATTGTAATAACAGGAAAAATAATAATACAATTATTGCATGAATCTTAATGGGATGGTTGCGCTTGAATATGACTGCATATGTTATCAATATCTGGAGTAAGGTTTGTTAATGAAAATCTTAGTGTCGGCGTCACATTCAATCTATTTCGATATGTTTTTGATATTTTAAATATTTTGATAAAAACACAGCACAGCACTTTCGCGGAACCCTCAAGTGATCTTCGCGGAACCCTAGGGAACACAGGTTAAGAAACACGGCTCTAGCCTATAGGTCACATTTTAAATATATTTTTCAGTAATTTTCCATTAAACTATGAATCCATGTGTTGTTCCAACAATTCCATATATTGGTGACAAAGAATGGAAAATGAAAGTATGTATAAAATATAAAAAATTTATAAAAAAATAACAAAAAAGTATATCATATTAAATATTATTTAGACCAAAAATTAATCATTTATTCTTTTTTAGCACCAACGTTATGTGACCGAAGCCAAGACTCAAGATCCAAATGTTCTCTTAATTGGTGCTTCTATTATTGAATTCATCCAATGTTATCCAATATGGAATGATAAATTTGTACCTTTAAAAAGTCTAAACTTTGGAATTAGTGGTGATCGAACTCAAAATGTGCTATGGAGAGTAAAAAATGACATTCTTGATCACATAAAACCAAAAGTAGATATAAATAAATAATTTAGTATTAGTTAATCTTTTCATAATCATATAAATTAATTATTCAAGTATTATATTATATTATTGTTTTATAAACTGTCTATGTAATTTATTTTAGGTTTGTATTCTTAATGTTGGATCAAATAATGTTGATAATACTCCTGTTCAGATTTCAGAAGGTATATTAGCTATTGTTGATGAAATTAGATCGAAACTTCCTGATTGCTACATTATTATCATAGTAAGAATTTTATTTTATTTTTTTTTAATTCATAATATTTTTACCAATAAATATTAAATTATAAATACCAAACTGAAAATATATATTAAAAAAATATTTGTTTTGGTAATGATAGTGATCAAGTTGCTTAGATCAAATAAATGTGCAATCTTCATAGTGATACGAGTTTATATTTAAATTTCATAATTTAAAAAAGTGTAGTCCAACTTGTGAATTGACCAATTCATCAATAATTGTGCAATAAAAATGGCTAATATTCTTAGAAATTGCAAAATGGGTGGATAATTTCTCATTCAAACTGTTAATAGAAGAGTCAATACAATTAATAATCACATGCCTGGATTACTTTAATATTTAATGTGAAATTGCAAGTGTTACTGTTTGACAGTGATATACAGTGGGAGAAGGGTGTATCTTACATACTCTACATCAGGGTGGTCCAACCCGCGGCCCGCAAAGCTTTTTTTTTGGCCCCTCCAACAATTTTAATTTTAAATCACAATAATATTATAACAAAATCGCAATAAGAAGGTAAACAATTTATACCATCTTATTACAAATTATACTTTAAATTTTACATTTTATTGTTATATGGCGGGAGTTCCCGGGGGTAATTTTTACCATATCTGAAAGAAAAAAATTCCTAGCCTAATTAATTGTTTAGTAATTTTTTGATAATTTTAAACATGAAAACATTAAATATTAATAATAATAATAAATAATTTGTGCATTATATAAAATAAAATATAAATAGGTAATAATATAATTATTTTCTTCTGGCGGCCCCCGGTGTTTTTATGAAAGTGTAAATTGGTCAACTATAAAAGGTTGGACCACACTGCTCTGCTTCATTCTTTAGCTTTGGATGAAAGTATTGTTCTTCATAAGGACAATTTGTATTGGATTTAATATATATATATATATATATATATATACTAAAAAAATTTAAATGTAAATAGATATTTATTTTGAGACATCATATTTTAGTCAATTATATATGACAATATCCTCAAAAATATTATCCTCTATAATTTTTGTATTGAGTGATTTTATTCTAAACCAGAGAAGAAAATAAATAAAATGTCATTAATAATTCATTATTAGAATTGTGCTTCAGGCCAGAATCAAAATTAGCTTCTAAAAAACATTGTCAACTTTTATATTAATATGTTTATTTCAAAATTAATATTAATGTATAATTAAAACTAATACAATATAAATAAATATTTATAATGTACACAAATATTGAATTTAAATTTAAATGTAAATGTTACAAATATTTGTAATTTAATAATACCTTAAATAAAATGTTAGTTATACATTTTTTTTTTCGGTTCACCATACTCATTTGAGTATGTAATTTAATTTGGACTGTGAACAGTGTGAACTAAAAAAGGTTTGAACACTATTGTATATAAAATTGTGTTGATCAAAATAATAGGAATTCTAGTATATAATGCTCCACACATTCCTATTATTTTAATCAAAGCACTTTTGTATGAACAAAAAAATTTTAACCTGTTTTACTTATTAACACTTTGAAGTTCGAACTCATCTCATTGTATATTTAATGATATTTATCTTTAGGGAATATTACCACGTGGTCCTAATCCGAATCCATTGAGAATTCTGGGAACTCAAGTTAATGAAATTCTCAGTGAAAAAGTGAAAAGTATTTTCAAAGTTGAATTATTCACTGCTCATGCTCATTTGCTGCAACTAGATGGTACATTGAGTCAAGAAGATGCGCCAGATTATCTTCATCCGTCTGAAATAGGTTATCGTAAAATATTCAATCCAATTTTTGAGCGTCTTAAAGAAATTCTTGATAATTGAGTATACTGTATACTAAATAATATTATATTTTTGTTTAAAATTTTAAATATGACTTAACACGTTGATATCCACATGACCGCCATCGGTTACTTGATATGTATTATTAATAAGTCATGTATATTTTCAAATTATATTACATATATCATATATTTATTCCAAATTAATTGTATATCAAACTATTTTAATAAAAAAAAATTTTAAAAATATGTTCAATACATCAAAAAAAATGTAAAGATTCTTACAACGCCATCACACTTTTACAATGCAAATAATTCTGGCCTTCGCATTATTGTAGCGCCATGGAAAAGCTAATAATATAAAACCATAATCATTTATGGGTGGTGACAATGATACACATACAATTTGAGGATTACTGACAATATCTGGCAATTACATGACAGTTAATGTGTTAAAATACATTTTTCAAAAATACTATGATAGTGTAATCTTCTCAATAAATTTATCAAATGATTAAATGAAATTTTGTTTTATTTTTTCTGATGGAAGTAGCTATTTATTTTTCATAATTTATGGTTTTTATATTTTATTCTTTAAAATGTGTATAGAAATATTTAATTATAGAATAGATACTCGTTATTAACTATTAGATAAGTTATGTCCCTGTTACTAATAATTATAAGCTATATTTATAATTTAGGAATAAGACACCAAAGTACACCCACATAGAAGATAATCTCATAAATTATAAACATATATTTGGACCTATTTTAATATTTATAATGATTTTAACCACAATCTTAATGTAAAAAAGTCGTATACAATGATTATCAAGGAATATTTATATAATTCTATTAAATCGGTATATCATATTATTACATGTGTTGTAAGTTTTTTTATTGATGATGAAAATTGCTGGTGTAAAAAAATTTTTGGGTATTAAAAAAATGTGTACCCAAGGGGCCAGAGCATCAAAATTCTAAATACATTATTGTGTATAATGCCATCACTCTTTTATATAATTTTATTATTAGTGCCTATATTTATAATATTTTTATTGAAAATATTTAAGCATTTATAATAATTGTTTCCTATGCCATTTAAATAAGGTAAATATCTATTATATTATTAAAACGTGAGTCGATTTCTTATGACAGTTATACAGGCCCGGATTGAACTGACGAGCTACCAAGAAAATCTTGGTGGGTTGCGTAAAAATTCAAGATCAGTAAAAATTGATTAAAAATCGTCATACTTAGGCCATGACTGATGAGTATAAAATGAAATGTTTACAAATTGCATAAATCCAGGTGATCTATATTATATTTTATATTATCCATATTATCTATCTTATATTTTGCGTTTTTTTAAATAATATAACTGAAGTATACTAAGTAACTTAATATAATGTACCTATTGAATAGGTAATTTGTAAATGTGCTTTAGAGAAACAATTATTATTTAAAGCACGCATACTAAAAGAGTGATCATAAAAAATGTTTTTCGAATGGGCTGATACTTTGTTGAGGGCCGGTAGAAATTTAAAATCTCGGAGGGCCGAAAAGTCTCTATCCAGCGCGGCGCTGGTTATCTGAAGTTCTACCGGGCCGATTTTCACGATTTTTTTTTTTTTTAACGCAAGTATTTGTTGTGTAGATGAGCCATCTAATGAGAAAAGTCCAAAAAAATAATGATTTAAATAGTTATTGGAAGTACAAAGTTTGCGCTATTGTTACATAGCGATGCGCGTTGCTTGCCGTGTGGCGTGTGCACTCACACATCTTTACAACCCCCAGTACTCCTACGTCTGCTGCAATAATGCTACGTCGTCGGCGGCACTGCCGTCTACCTTGTACCTATATACACATTTACATTGTTGTCATAACAGTGAAATCGTTGTATAATATTATATATTTATATATCAATATTATTTTTAAATTTAGTTTTTATTTAAAAAGGAATATCAATTAATTCCCATTGTAGGTTCTGTGGCATATTTAATATTTGGTAGGTACGTAAGAAAAACATTGAGATATTCGATTAAGAGGACGCTACACCCGCATACGTTGTCTTCGTCTTACAAACGCATAACATAGCAACTTGTGTGCTCAGCAGATCACGTATAGCTCCGTTAGTATAAAATTTAGAGTAAATTGATCTCTTACAAAAATTAAAGGTAACATTATTATCGAGGGCATCTCGTAGGCTTTTTATTATATTTTAATTTTAAAGTGAGTTATGTGTATTTTAAAATTGTAAATTGTTTGTATATCTTAAAATACACATAACTCACTTTAAAATAAAAATATAATAAAAAGCCTACGTTAGGTATGTCCTCGATAATAATGTTACCTTTAATTTTTGTAAGAGGTAAATTTATTCTAAATTTCAAACTAACGGAGCTAAACGTGATCTGCTGAGCATTAAATTTGCTATGTTACGCACTTGTAAGACGGAGACAAGCTAGTTTTACTTAATTGTTGTTTTATATGAATTGTATTTGAAAAAACTTGAATCTGGTAGGTTTGTGATTATATTCAGGTACCTATATCATTCAAACCAATAACAATTGGATTATATTTTTCAATTATCAAATACACAATTTTCATTTAAAAAATGATAACAACGGTCTACAACCATGAGTATAGTAATGTAGAATAATAACCCCTGCGTCTCTAATTTTTCTCTTCATTCTGTATAAAAATAAAAAAATAAAACAATAAGTGATGAATCTAAATGTTTCTATAAAATATTCCTTAACCACATAAGTAGGTACCCATTCAAATCCTCTTATCCAACATTTGGCCTCCACTGCCATATCTAGTAATTCCCAAGACGCCTAAAACACAAATAGTGTTGTAATTTGTTACACCTATAAAAAAAATTATTGCACAATAAATCATATAAGTTATAATCATTGACCATTGACCACACATTATGGTATAGTATATATTCAACATATTATATTATAATACATAATTATGTAGGTACATAAAAACCACAGTGACAAACTGACTACACAATACGGTTATATATAAAGATAGATATAGTACGCCAAAAAAATATAAATTATCGTGCAAGTTTTGAATGAGTTTATCGAATGAATAGCACACCTTTATTAGTAGTACCGAGCTGGGTGCTAAGAACAACTAGGCACTATAAAGGTTAGGTGAGGTTAAGTTAGGTTACCATATTTGTGTCTCCTTCTATTACAACTTACAAGTGCGCAACGTAACAAATTTACGCTTAGCATATTATCACGTTTAACTCTTGTTAATTTAAAAATTAGAGTAAATTGACCTATTATGAAACGTGATGGTATAAGAACATTATCTGTGTTTGTATGTGGGTTTTTTACGATAACTTAGTTTTTATAAATGAGTTATGAGCATTTTACTATCACGCTTTTTTATAAACGCATAACTTACTACAAAATTAAACTCTTGTAAAATACCTCATACAAACACAGATAGGTAATGTTCTTAACATCAAGTTTCATAATAGGTCGATTCACTAATCTAATGTTTAAACTAACGGAACTATACGTGATATGCTGAGCGTAAACACTTTATTATAATGCACTTGTAAGACTGAGATAACAAATGGATGTGTAGCCACTTCAGAGAATATCAGTTGTTAAAGCACTAATGCAAATTTAATTGTTTGTTTTCTTAGGTTTAATATTATAATGAATTGAACACTAGAACTATTCAGGGCCGGATTGGCTCGGTGAGTTACAGAATAAAACCGGTTGAGCCGCGACAATTTTGGGCCGTTCAAATCTTGAGGCTGCTGACTGAAAATGTGTTTAGAGTGTTAAGTTGAAAAAATGGAGTTTGAGTGTTRGACTTGCACTGGCTGTGGACATATTATGGTTGTAGGTGTTGTTGATATTAAGTTTGTAAATGGGCTGATAAAGCACAAAAAACTCGATGGGCCTAATTTGTCMAATCCGGCTCTGGAACTATTATCAAAAACTTAAATAAGTATTAGATTTCTTAATAATTAGAATATCTGATTGTTGACATTCACCGATATTTTAATGATTTTAAAGCCAGTTATGAGCGTTATAATTAGATTGTATTATTTTATACACAAGAACTATAGAAGATACCTCGTACCTATTATAGTTA